ATATATATATATATATATATATATATATATATATAGTCCTAATTCTTACATGTGAATGAGAAGATTAGAAGAGGGCGTAGTAATTGGCCGGGTGGCAGTTGACGGTGGTTACGGGAAAGAAGGGGGCGGTGAAGTAAGGCTCCATCACGAGCTGGGACTGGACGGCCTCGATCGACGCGGCGCCATCCATCAGATCCCTCACCAGCGCCGCGTGGCACGACCGCAGCCGCGACAGCGCCGCCCGGTACTTGGCTGCCAGACACCGCAGCCGCAGCCGGCGGAGGAGCCCTGCCAGGAGCCGGCGCCCGCGCCACCGCCACCCCCGCCGCGAGCCCAGCCGGACCACCGCCATCCTCCTCCTCCGCCGCGGCAGGCGGAGGACCGTGGGGCGACGGGCGAGGGCCGGCGGGCAGCGGCCGCCGTCGTTGGACGTGAGCATCCCGGTGGCGGAGAAGGCGAACGAACGATGGTCAAGACTCGAGTGCGCGAGGGAGGCCGGGCAGGCAAACGAGATGTAAAGCAAGCGGGGGACTGGGTTCTGCTCACTCGCGGTGAGACTCTCGAAACGTGGCATGCTCCGATGGGATTAGTATAACAGCTGTTGGAGTAACACAGAAAAGATTAATTGGAGCAGTAACACAGAGCTCCACATATAAAAAAAGAACAAGCAAGAGCATCAAGATTTGGTGTCTTCCTGAGATCTTGCTGACATGATCTACTCTCTGTCCAGTGTCGAATGCAGCAAAAGTCAAATGTGCAACTGTTCAGGTTGCCAAAACACTGCATCATTATTGCTGTCACTGTTACTGTGGATGGACACACCTTCATGTAAACCTGCTCTGGTATTTTGCTTTGCGAACACAGAAGACAGAGTTGGGTGGAGTTCCTGCACCCCTAAAAGGGACTTGAGATTTTATCTTCGAAGCTCATCTTATTTATGTGATGGCTTCCACTTGGAAGTCAGTCCTTCATATCTGAGACATGCTTATGAAATGGCAGACTTCTCTACGTCTCAGCATAGTTAACTTCATCCATTCTCTTTCCATGAAGAAGAATGATGTGAGTGATGAGAACTTTCACGAGTGGTTGGCTAATCATCAACAGTGGTTCATAACTTCCAAGTGCTTAATTGTTTTTGGTGTTCATTCCGTTGGGCCTACCCAAATATTTCAATTATTTGCCGACATACTTTCTTGGATTGTCTGCATCTGGTTCGATGAAGACAGCAACCGGAAGGAAGAAGATGCTCTGCGTGATCCATTTGTGTGGATGCTCCTGAGACAGCACCAAAGATGTTACTGGTGCAGAAGAAACCATGGCATGGTCACAGGACTGTGATCAGTGATTGCTGCGACGCTTTCGTACAGAACAGTCTGTGGTTTGGAGATCTTCACACTTGTTCTTCGAGTATTCGCTGCCCCATTCAACAGGGCTTCGATAGGAGCCTTTCGTGGCATTGGTTTCAGACAAAACCTTCTTCTTCATTGCAGTTGTTGTTCCACGGGTCAGTCTTCAGTGCTGCTCTTCTTACACATTGTTCTTATTCTTGATCTCGTTATGCAATGAAGACCACAATATGTCTGCAACAGATATAATGTGCGTCAAAGTTTGATGTCACCAACATTTTTGTGAAATCTCCTAAAGAAGACAATGATGATCAAGAATTTAACAGGCCCTGGCAAACAAATGGGCAGAATTCTATATATCAAACAACATGATTCAGGGATACAAGAGAATTAATATGGTATGTCAAGCCAGAACAAAGGAATACAAAATTATGGTCTGATCCTAACATAGACATCCAGTGGTACAGCAGGGTTTAGTACACTTAGGTAGGAGGCATACATCTGTACACCTTGTGCAGGACCAGACACAACCACAAGAATAGTCCGGGCAGGAGAGTTTTGGAAGCGCACAACAAGTTCTCGAGCTACGGCACCGATTTGAGAAACAGCATGGTCCGAAGCATGAAAGTCTCGGGCCACAGCACCGTGAGCAGTCGCAATGTGGTCTCGAGCATGTAGGATTCCAGCCACAGCACCATTTTTTAGCACAGCATGAACTGGGGCATGATGGCCGCCAGCCACCACAGAGTGGCTGAGTACAACATGAGTTGGAGCATGATGTCTTGCAGCCACCGCAACATGGTTGATCGCAGTATGAACAGGAGCATGACGGCCTCCAGCCACACCGCCATGGTCCGAAGCAGGAAGACCACCACCTACAGCAACGAGGCCTGCAGGAGGAAGCATTCAGGCAATGGCATTTCGGTTTGCAGCAAGATACATCTGAACAACTGCAGCAGGTTTTGCCGCAACTGCAAGGATTCTTTGTGCAGCTGCAGCATGTTCCAGCACAACTGCAAGGATTGGAGCAGCTGCAGCATGTTCGGCCACAAGTGCAAGGATCTTTTGAGCACCTGAAGCATGTTCCAGCACAACTGCAAGCGTTGGAGCAGCTGCAGCATGTTTGGCCACAAGTGCAAGGAATTTTTGAGCAGCTGCAGCATGTTCTCCTACAACTGCCAGGAATTTTCAAGCAGCTGCAGCATGTTCTACCGCAACTGCAAGGAACCTCCGAGCAGCTGCAGCATGTTCTGCTGCAAGTGCATGGAACTTTTGAGCAGCTGAAGCATGTTCCTTCACAACTGCAAGGAGTCTTCGAGCAGCTGCTGCATTTTCTGTCACGGCTGCAAGGAAATTTCAGGCAGCTACAGCATGTTCCTATGTTACAGCAGGAAAGCTTCGAGCAGCTGCAGCATGCTCTGCTGCAGATGCAAGGAACTTCTGCACAACTGCAGCACGGTCTGCCGGGAGAAGCCTCACAGCATTGAGAGCTGGGACATTCACATTGACAACAGGAACAGCTTCGTGGACAAGAGCAACACTCACTGAAGCAGCAAATCCATGAGAAATTGAAACACAACTTTGACCTGCACATGAACCAAACAAGTCCTTTTGGCATTTGTATAAATGCTTTTTTTGCAAAATAAAGAAAACTTATTTTCTCATATTAATTTCTAATAACAACTAATGATCTTTGTTACATCATCTGTATACTAAATTGTCAACCTCTGAACCTGGTGAAAGGACTTCATATGGATATGACACTAACAGCTCAGAAGATGGCAAAAATTTGGTGCTGTAATATCTGTTGCAGCTCTTCAAATATAGAGCATGATCATTAAGATATTTACGAACAAAATTAAGGTCCACATAATGAGAATATTGACTGGTGTGTAATTATGTGGATCTTAAATTCTTAATTACCAAAGCTTATAAATTATAAGCATCCAAGATTTTACGACAAGTTATCTGACTTTTGGAGCAATGTTCTGGTGACATCAAAAGAAAAATAAATCAGGCAGTCAATGTGCACCGACTAGATGACAAGGGAGCACAAGAAAGAATCTAAAATGAATAAGATGCACTTATCATCCATATATTACTAGAGCAAGCATATATTCACTAGGTCAAATACAAACAGAACCATAGATGTTCTGACCAATTTTTTCAAGTAGTTATTCTTTATGCTAGTCAACTATTAAATATTAATCATAGGAAAATATATTTTTGTAGCACTTCTTTAGCCAAAAACATTACATGAAGAGAATTAATCAACAGAAAAGCATCCAAGACTCACTCATGATTGCCATCGATTCATGGTTTTCAATTGCTAGTTCATTTTCTTATTTAAATTTCTGATTTCTGACTTTTCTGTTCCTTTTAACCAATGCCTTGAAAATGATAAACCTGGTCATTTCAAATTACAAGTGCAAAAAAATTATTGAGTCCTTGTTGCTTTACTGTAGGAGTATCTTAAACAGATAACAACAATTGTCAACAAGGAGGAGACACAATTTTCATGAAGGAAACAGTCAGGCTTTTGTTTATTCTGAAACAACAGTTTCCATTCATTCCAGGCATAAGCTGCAGAATTACACTAAATATACAGTAATTTTGATTCATATCGAGGTTAGAACCCCTCCATAGTGGTTGTTAGAACATCAACTTTTATTATATAAATCTGAAGCTGTATATACACTTAAAGTTCAACTAAATGTAGATATTTTTTAACAACTTCAAGAATATAATCGAGATTTAGTCATTATCAAAATCCAATCTAAACCAAAGAAGCTAGTTAACCCCAAGGACCATGTTTTGCATCAATTAAGCATGTCAGAGTTGGACTTGGCATTTTTTTTATTTTTAAACATAACATACATATTATTTTAAACAGAAGAAATGTTGAGATAAATAAGCATATTAAGACAGGCACCGACACTTCAGTTTATTTCATTCAAAAGGGATATTTCATGGTTCGAAATAAAGGAACATCATTTTTCATTGCTTTTTATAATATCACCTTCTAGATAACTTAGCCATCAAACAAGACATAATGCCAAAGTATAATACTTAATGATGGCACAGTCGAAAAGACATTAAAAATAGCACCTATCAGTAATCTAAAGCAACCCAACATGTCAAATAATGTAGCTGCTATCTTCTGAGGAGATTGCTGGTTCATGGTTCTTGCAAATAATTATGAAAGGAGCTAATAGATCAGCAACTACGTAATAAAGAACATTCATACCTCAAAACACAACAAGAGCCCAGGTGAATTTATAATACAAAGTTACATCACACTAGACCAAACTATTTTTCTCTTTATGTTTTTGAATGCCAAGTTTCATTGTTCCACACTACTTCAGAATTGGATATGTTTTTGCTTATATGATACTCAGGAAAGAAATGAATAAAACTGATAAAAGACAACAAAATTCAGAAAGTACCGTATCCATCTCCACAAGCAACACGATTTGTGCCTCCGCTTATTTCTGTTTGACAGAAGAAACATACAAAAGTTACATGTTTTTACACAAAACTTAGCATAAAACATGTGAAGAAGTTGAAGAATCATACATAGGGATCAAGGGATCAGGTTTCGTTCCCACAAAATCGTTGACCCTGCAAAATAGTCATGATTTATAAATGTTATCTGCATAAAATGCTATGCAATTTAACCATAATTGGAAGTTCCACAATTTCTGAAGGAAAAATCTATTTTTCATCGAAGTCAACAGCTTATCATCTTCAACACCTCAAATCAATATTAAGGCCTGGTGAAGCACTCAGCAATTTTTCAAGTTCAACAGAAAATTGAAGTTTCACAATTCTTTTATTTTTTCCTTTTCTGGGGGGAAGATGGATCAGTTATCACATTAATTTATTAAGCAGAAAGAAAAGAATAGATCAAGCTGTCACATGGGGACAAAAGAGGGAGCCCGTCTTGGACCCAGATCTCCAGAAACAGCTACAGAGGAAAAGAAAACAGGTGCCACACCCCACTCACAAACAAAAAAATACTGACAATAATGTCTCACACCCTAATATCTAAAAGCTCTACAACAGATGAGACAAATTCAGTCGAGCCATTTAGCAAAAATTATGCTAAATATTTGTTTCCTAAATTGATGGTCACTACCATGAGAGTTACTAGATGCATTTTGTGGGAATTGTTAACATTGGTTCAAGTAACTTTTACTTGAGCAAGCACTAGAACTTCACAGATCAGAAAGAAAAAGAAAAATGAAATATATCATTGATTCTGGAAATGAAAAGAATGTTAAACTCCTCCCGTATAAATTCCCTGAGGTGTTTAGACACATGTGGAGCCAACCTAGCATCTTTCGTTTTCTCGATTGCAAAGAAAGAAAGTCACAAAGTACTACTGATAAGTGAAGCATACTCTTTGCAGCATCTGGAAACAGGTTGAATTCCTTCAAGTGATTGCAACTCCTCCTGCTCGAAAATAGAATTTCAATGAGATATTTATACTTTGCAAAACAAAATTCATACTTGAATCAGAACAGAGAGTATCAGCACTTCGTGCCACAATATCAGAATATATTGCTGCTCACTCTCCACATAGTAAGTTTCTGGTTAAAAATCTGTTGATCTTCTAACCATTTTAATCGATTTTTAGTTTCACAGAAAAGAGAATCATAATATTAAACTCAAAGACAGCATCCGTTTGTTTCATTGTCACGAAGGCAGAGATGCCAAGTTCCTTAAGAAGAACTAATGCAAGTCTACCTGGAAACAAAGTAGATCCAGTTCCAAAATGCTTTTTAGCCACATCAACATCTTTTGGCATTAAAATCTTTCTGTTTTCCTTCCCTAAACTTCATGTTGTTACTGATATAGTCTTAACATCTTGATGTCTGTTCATTTGGACATGACTCTTTACTCTACTAGGTGACAAATCCCTTCTATGTTCAACTACTTGGCAAGGAAACACCTTTGACTCTCGAATCAAAACCTTAGCAACTCAACATCCTCTCTCACTTCAAATTGCAGCTAAAGATTACAAGATAATCCATCTAAATGTGGCTTTCAAGCACAGCCATCAGAAGCATTAGTAGGATAGCCATCATTTCACAGTCATTCCACTTCGCAGACTTCCATTAAAAGATGACATTTTTGCTCAAGAAAGAGTAGGAAGGATTTGGTGGGGTTACCTCGATGAAGCCAACCTCGCGGTTCAGGATCTGCAGCTCGAGCTGCAGCCTCCGGCGGCCGCAGAGGTCGGGGTACTTGGGCGGCGACTTGGGGCTGGGCGCCACCACCACCACCGGCGGCGCCAGTAGCGGCGGCGCGGTCGGCACGGTCTCCCCCATCGTCACTCGCGGACACACGAGAGCTCAAACGGATCTCCGGAGCCCTCACAAGGATTCAAAAGGAATGCGGAGTAAAGGGATCACGAGGGGAGGGGGAGGAGAGGAGACATGGACTGCGAGCGCCGCAGGTGGGGTATAAATGCGGTACGCGGCGGAGGAGGGGAATCCGAGAGGGGGTGACCCGTCCCTTAGCGTCACCGCGGCAGCACCCGATACGTGCTCCGTGGGCGTGGGCGTGGGCGTGGGCGTGGAAATAAGAGGAGGCAGCTGCTGCAGCAGCACCAGAGCAGGCATCTCTCTCTCTCTCTCTCTCTCTGCCTGCTAGCTATGAATATATCTACCAATGAATCTTCTCTCTACCTATCTTTCACCTACGCATCATCACACGCCTCGAGCGTTCTTATTGTCCGATCGCTGCTGCAGTGCCACTGACAACTCTAGTAACATCACCACCCATATCCTTTACCATCAGTATTCGACAACAGTCTCTCGTGTGCGTGCGTATGTGTGTGTGTGTGTGTGAGAGAGAGAGAGAGAGAGCGAGAGGTGAGAGTAAGAAGAGAAGGAAGCCGTCTCGGTAGCGAGCGAGAGAGAGAGAGAGAGAGACGGTATAAAAGCCTGCAAGTCTTAGTACTGAACCATGCCAAAGTCGCAGAGGTGCTGTTGGTCTCTGTCTCTCTCTTCACACAGATCGGTGGCGTTGCATTGTTGCAGAGGGGGCTATGCACAGGAAGGGGCGCGCCGTACTGCAGACCGCACGTGACGCCCACCGCCATGTGGGGCGCACGGCGGACTCACCTTCGAGTCTTTTCCCTCCCTCCCTCCCTCCCTCCTTCTTCAAACTCCAACCTCAACAATAATCCTCCTCCGGAATGCTTCCCTTTCTTCATTTACTTCTTTCAACGTAGTTATTCGATGTTTCAGAACACAGATGAAGATTAGCAACCTCGCTTGCAAGAAGAATAAGAAAGGAAGCACGCAAGCTTCCTTTAGATTTCAGGTTGGGGAATCAGGGGGTAAAGGATCATCTCTGACATGACTTTGACACTCCCTGCAAACAGGAAGCAAGGAGGCATGGTCCCTACTAGCATTCGTTCTCACACCATGTTGTGTGTTCCTCAAAGCACAAAAATCCACACACACATTTTTCTTCATTCATCGCTTCATGTTCTTTTTTCTTCTGTGACTTTTGGAGGGCTCTAATCCCCTCCCATGCAACAGGCAGCTCCCGTCCTGCGATCCTTGGCAGTGACACTCAAAGCGTCGCGATCAGCTCTAGTTTGCCTGCGGCAGAGTGGACGCAGCGTGGAGTAGCGACTAAATGGAATGGCCATTTATGGCCTGCTCTGCTTCGGCTCCTCTTTGTTGCGCCCGAGTTGGAGCATGGCAGCTTCGTTCTGGGCGCCCGCGAGCACGTCACTGTAACACCCACCTTCGTTTGCACGACCCCAGCCCGCGTGGGTCCCCCCTTTTTCCTCCAATCGCGGTCGAGGTCGCCGCCACGCCAGCGCAGACTACCACGTCGCGCCGCCCCCGCGGACCCCGAGGAGAGGGGGGAAAAGTCGACGATGACGTATGATAAGGCGTGGGGGCGCGTGCACCGTACACGGGACCAACGCGCCGACTGTACGACACGTGCACCAACGCTCGTGGCCTGTCGGGGGTGGGATTGCGTCATTGGCCGCAGCCCGCGTGCCGTGACGCCCGTGTTATCGATCGATGATGGGTGCTCATCGTTAACGTACAATGTTTGTAGGCCAAATGACGAGGTTAAAGGGCTCATTACACAGAGGAGGACGAAGGATCAAGACCGCCCATCGAACTTGATCAACGGTCCAGATGGACGAGCTCAAACTTTTAATTCATTATTAATATATAATTTGATCCTTAACTCGATTCCCAACAAAATATATCATTGGGATGTTTCATTTATTGGGAATATATGTTCTATCGAGATTTTGGGATGGATGAATTGACTATCTATCCTCTATAATGTTTCAATTATTTGAGATCCACCTGTCATCATGTGATTTGTGTGAAATTGCTAAAGTAATAAACATTTAACATAAATAAATAGAGACATTATTAGAATGTAATCATGACATCCAACTATCGACTATTTGAGATGCCAAATGGTTGTTAGATGTAATCGATCATGTTTCCCCACAAATAATTGTAAGTGATGATGGAATTTATTTTTTGCTTAAAGATAAATGATGAAGAAACAATTTGATCCCAAAATATTATTACCCACCGTCAAAACTTTTACTTGTCAAAACATATTCTTATTTTGTGGTGTTATTTTAAGATTGTTTGATTTGAGATTGCATGGAATATTACATAATCTATTTGAAGTTTAAGTTAACCTTCGAGTCGATTATTTCGACTAATATAGAGTCTGTAATAGACTAATATACTAAGAAATAACGTATTTGAGAGGTCTTTTTAATGATGTCATTTTGGACTATTACACTAAATCATGTTTTCACGTTAAAAATGATTCTTTAGCATTAGATGTAATCACATCATACAGAATCCAAAGAATATGATATAACTATGAATAAGATCATAATATTCATATTGATCACATCACGATGAGATATTATTATCGTCTCCGATCATTTATAAATTATGAATGAGATCATAACGTTTGAATGATTATAAGGTATTGATTACATGACGAGAAAATATATTGGTCATGCGACCAATAAAATATTGATCATATCTCACAATGAGGTCTCGATAATTTTTAATACGTAATTATTATACTCGGATATATTATCGTGGTAAATTAAGATAGCTATGAGTGGTCAAACATCTTAACCCGCCGTGGGTCCCACCTCTATAAACAAAAACATTAAGTGGTGCCGCCGATGGGCCCCATAATAAATCATGAGATTTTTTTGTGTTCGTTAAATCTTGGCATCATTATGGATGTCGGTAATGATCGCAAAATGACAGTCCAACACAGACAGTGAGGAGCAGACTACGAGTGGCCAACGAAACCCATCTAATTATTCATTGTGTTGGCTGTTAATTATCCCATCCCATCGTCTCCAATAGCATAAGAGCCTAATCATGGCTGTGATGAGTTCACGAAGCAAACAGTCAGTCATGGCGGAAGCTTGCTTTCGAATGGCACTGAGTCGCTTCTCGATGGCCGCCGCCGTGATCGAGCATTGAACTCATGGATTATTACTGCACCATCAGAAAAGAAAAGGTTGTGTTGAATTCAAATTACGAGAGAGAAACACATTAATTAATTGTGTGATCCCCGAAACAATGGTCCCAATGCAAGACAGACAAACCAAAGCAGCAGAGACTTTGCCGATGAGTCGATCAATCAATCAGTCGGAGAGATGAGAGAGAGAGGGAGAGAGAGAGAGAGGCTTCTTTTAGCTGCTTTCGATGAATCCGTAGGGCAGAAAAAAGTTCGATGACGTTGACCAGTCAAATACCGAAGGCTCGAAAAATCGAAGACTTTCTTTTACTGAGGTTTCGTGATGTGTTCCAGTGGCTGTGAGCACACCCTCTTCTCGTCTCAGACGAGAGAGAGAGAGGTGGTGGTGGAAGAAGAAACATTGCCCTCCAAAGGACGCTTCCCCACACGCCGCAGAAGCATCCAATGCACATCTCGCAAACATTGGAATGACGCTGAAAGGTCTTCAACCATTTTGGATCCTTTCGCATGTTTTGTAGCTCAACAAGTCTTGCTTATCACAACACATCCACTTGATTGATTGATTCATATCTCTAAGTGAACATATATTTCAGTCTTATTATTATCTTTCATATGTTTACCCCTCAAAAAAAAAAAAAAAAAGATACATAACTCTCTAAATCAGTACAATGTTTGATTTTTTGTAATAGCTGAGAAAAGCCTAAATGCAAAACAACATCAAACTCTTCTTATCACACAATATGTAATGAATGATAGAAGAGTAAGCAAAGTAAAGACAAAGAAAAGGCAATGTTGTGGTACATCTGACAAAAGATGGTTGTATGCTGCATTCATACTCCTTTTCTACTCTTTTTTTCTTCTTTCTTTTGACTTTCTCCTGCAAAGCTACTTTCCCAAATAATAATAGCATCATTTCGATTCTGAAAACACACTAATCATTTAGCCAAGGGCTCGTAGCCAATGTGCATGGCTCGAGAACGAGTTTACTCGATCGATGTGTAGGCCTTAGGTTTTCCTTCTAGCGTAAATATGATAAGGGGCAATTTGATCGATCGACCATTGGTACAGTTCGTAGGCTCACGAGAAACTATCTGCTTTGGGCGATGGGGCGTACCCACACGGTTTTGTCCTTTTCGGAGCATGTGAGCCTATGGATCGTACCAATGGTCGACCGATCAAATTGCCCCTTATCAAATTGGTGTTAGAAGGAGGACCCAAGTCCTGCACCTCAACCGAACAAACTCTCTCCTGAGCTGTGCACCTTGACTATGAGCCCTTGGCTCCCCTACGGGAAGGAGCACTGATAAAACAATTTAGTCTCACGTTGGTTGAGGAGTATGAGAACCAAGGGCTCATAAGTCTGTCAGGTCTCCTTTACCCTCATAGGTGTCTTTTGAAGCTTACATGTTCCAAAAAGGACAAAACCGTGCAGGTACATCCAAAGCGAACAATTCATCGCGAGCCTACGAGTCGTACCAATAGTCGACCGACCAAATTATCCCTTATCAACTATCGAGACAGAAACCCTATCTAATGTATGGTGGAAGATAAAAACATAATGAAAAAAAGACAATAATTTTCTACAAATTCTTTTTATTATGTTAAAACAAAATTAATATTATTAATGCCGATCAAGAATGATATAATGTCTTAACGCCAAATGTCATGAATATTAATTAAAGATATAAATGGGCCAAGTGTGACGGCACCCTTCTATTTCCCAAGTGGTAAACGGGTCACAGTTGGGCTTCCAAGACGGTCCAATGGGCCATCGTGGCATCAACAACCCATTCTAAAACATACTGTTCTCTTACATTAATTTCCATTGAGGAACGAGTTCTTGGATTCTGAATCCTCTGCACGCCATTGCTCTTACATTGGAAATGCAGGGAATCGAAGCTTGGATAAGAGAGAGAGAGAAAAAAAAGGACTAAAGGAGGAAAATTCCTCGATCCTTCTCCTACACGTCCATTCCCTTTATCTGTTCATCGACGCCGTCGTCCTTCCAGCTCTCGAGCTCCTTGCCTTGCTTGCTCACGTCGTAGCTCTGCACCTTGTACTCATGGCGACTCGCGAACACCAAGAAAACCCCGAAGTTTATGGCGCCCAGCACCGCGAGCATGGCGTAGAAGTAGTCCAACCTCCCCTTGTCCAAGTTGTTCTTGATCCAACCCCCATCGGTGGCCTTGTCGACCAGAGACACAAGCATGCTGCTGAAGAAGAACCCCATGGACAGCGTTGACAGGAAGAGACCGGTGCTCATCGACTTCATCCTCTCGGGGGCTTCCCTGATGAAGAACTCGAGCTGGCCCACGTAGGCGAAGGCCTCGCCGGCTCCCACCAAGAAGAACTGCGGGACGAGCCAGAACACGCTTATCTTGGTGTCGTCATGCACCGAGGAGTCTCTCCTCTTCTTCTCCACCGCCGCGGAGACGGCCATGGCGAGTATGGAGAGAGCGAGGCCGACGCCGGCTCGTTGCAGGCTTGTTATCCCCTGCACGTTGCGGGTGAAGCTGCGGGCGAGGGGGACGAGGAGCTTCTCGTTGAGGGACGTGAAGAGGAGGATGGAGATGAAGAGGAAGAACGAGAGGGAGCCGGAGGGGTAGACGAAGGAGCCGATGTGGCGGTTCATGTACGTGGCCTGCTCCACGGAGAAGGTGGTCATCTGGGAGTAGACGGTCCAGAAGAGAATGCAGGTGGACCAGATCGGGAGCAGCTTCAGGACCATCTTCACCTCTTCCACTTCCGTCACGGTGGCTGCCTCGCCGACGTCGCAGGCGCCGCCATTTCCACCTTCTTTGCTCGAGCTGGTGTTACACGCTTGAATGGCGGCTTTGTCGAGGCACCTGCGAAAGGGAATCCAAAGCGAGATCATGTTAAGATCGGATCGCCAATGAAAATATGCCATGTAATGTGCTTATCCAAGACGTTTACCTGAACCATTCGGTGTGCGCAACCTTGGCCGCGTGGTACTCGTTGAGCTCGCTGGGATCGGCCGGGTGAGGCAGCTTCCTCTTCTGCCACGCCGACAAGAACACCCTCCCTATCACCGTCAATGGGCTGCCCTGCGGCCGCCTGAACCGGTACCGTGGCGTGCCCACCAGCATCACCACCACCGCGACCACCATGGTGGCGGCAGATATGCCGTACCCCCACCCCCGGCCGACGTTGTCCTGGATGTACACCAGCACCGTGACCGCGAACAGCGAGCCGAGGCTGATGCAGAAGTAGAAGCGGTTGAAGAAGAAGATCATGGCCTTCTCTTCCCTGGGGTCGCGGTTGTCGAACTGGTCGGAGCCGAAGCCCGACACGTTGGCCTTGATGCCGCCTGCTCCCAGAGCGATCGTGTAGAGTGAGACGAAGAGCATAGCGAGCTGGTCGCCGCTGGCCGCGACGCACTCGTGGTGCGCCACCCGCACGCTGTCGCAGGCGGATGGCCTCATGCTGCTAAGCGATGTGGCCATCGTCAACAAGCTCACACCCTGATCTCACAAGCAACAGTATAAATGTCAACATCATATCATCACACTGTTCGCGGTAAGCGCGGAATGAAGAGTACCAATGGGAGTGGTTCTTAGATGGTCATACCGCAGCAGTGATGGTGGCGAAGATGGCGACGGTCATGTAACGACCGAGCTTAGCATCAGCTAAGAAGCCTCCGAGCAATGCTAGAAGATTAAGAGCGCCCATGAAGTTTGTGACGACATTAGCTGAACTCGAGGTGGACAGATGCAGATCTCCCACCAGGTAAGTGACCAAGTTCATCGAGATGCCCATCACGCAGACTCTCTCCGCCAGCTCCGTCCCTGAAACAGTGCACGTAGCCCTTAGTCCTGTCTCACACATACAGATCCTGTTGCACGTATAGGCAACAGCAAGCTCCAAGTGGACAAGTAGTTAATCACCTAAGATGAGACCAGCACCGAGCCATCCCCCTGTCTTGGATTTGTCGACAGGATTGCCATTGTAATCGACAACCGGACCATTGTCGACGCCTTCGTCATCAGTGTGCACGACGGCAGACACCTACAAACAAGGTGGAGGGTGGTGAGTAAGAACACATACAGATGATCAGAAAGCATAGTAGGCTAATGCTGTTCGATACCATTTTGCAGCTCCCGTAAGACAGGAAGGGAAGGAGGGGGAGAGAGATAAGGGAAGGAAGGGCTGAAGTGAGAGGTGCGTCGATGATGGCGTGAGGTTATAAAGGCCGGAGTGATATGAGGTGGGGGAAGGACGACTGCTTATTGCCACATTTTCTGCTAGGACCAACATGTGGCCGAGTGGCGAGAAGCCATGGCATGCATGCTTTTTGGAGTGTTTGGATTCGAGACGGAGGGTGAGAATGGTTAATGGAGGAAGGCTGGTCCAATACTCCACTGGATGGGCGGTGAGGTGAGGGATGACAGCAACACCGCCACGGGTCCACGGAAAGGACGGTGCTCCACGCGTCTCATATCGCCCACACACAAAAGATATGTCCGGGCCGGCGGATTCGCTCCAATGATTGGCGGAAAGGCTGCTCCTTCAGGCATGCCATGCTCAGTTGTCTTCCGTCGTTGCATCTCGTCAGGTGCTGGAGATGAGTGCAGCTCTGATGAAGCCCTAGTTCTCCGTCAGTTCAGACATAGATGAAACCAATTAGAGGATAGGAACATGAGCCGGTGACCTGCTTAATCCAGCTAAGAAAGTTGGAACGGGTGCATCTTTACAGGCTCGAATTATGACTGGAATCAATCGATGCGTCCTTGTCGTCTTTGTCTGCCATTAATCTAACGCAAGGCTCTGCAACATTCTTTTAGGCTGGCAGCGGGGTGAAAGGCTCAGATTTTTGCGTAGAGATGGAGATTAAGATTTGGAGATATTTGAAGGTGTCGGGTAAGATTAGCTTCAGCTCTCTCCTAACTTACTTTGGAGTCAGCAAAGCCAAACTCTGCCTGCTCTTTAAGAAGACAAAGGTGCACCGAACTGCTGTTGTCTGCCATACACGAACGGCTGGTTACTGATCATTCATGGCTTCATGTCATGGCTGCCACTAATGCCTTGTTCCTCACTGTGATTGGCTTTCCTATGGCAATGAGTTTGACTCGCATGGAAGACAGATGCTGCATCCTGCGTTACACAGTAGGGTTGGGATCCTCTGCTCCCAAGTTCCGAAAGGTTGCGTGTAGCACAAGTGTTATATATTGCAGTTCATAAATATATGTGGATGGACTCAAAAAAGGTAGCCGAATCGGTGATCAAACACAAATTGTCATGTAAAACGCTGTAAGATTCTCTATATAGCTGATGTTCTTATTGGAGTCTTGAAATAAAGATCATCTGATTTCATGTTATTGCTTCACTCTGATGTCGCAGGTGAAGTTTCTCGTGGTGTATATGGAATGAGAATTTGGTTCACGGAAGCCAAATGACTCGAACCTGAAGTTGGTCTGAGGTAGCCAAATATGATCGATTTGCTCTTATGGTCGTAGTGAGGTGTATCGTGTTGAACCTGTACAACTGCATTCATTATAACCAGCGGCATGGAGTCTGCTGACTTCCATGCTTCACTGGGAATGATGTTTTCAGTCCCCCCCACTGTGGTGGCACAGTTTTGAGCCACATATGATTTCTCTTGCTATGAGGAAAATACAGATTCCAAAACGATTTGGGTAAGTTATATAAAAGAAAACCTAATACTAATGTTTTACTTGATGGCGGGCGCCACAATGTCTGCTTTTCACCATGTGCTCTTTTTATTTAAAATCTTAAAAATATATTTTAAATTAGATATATCTTTTTTATTGACTATCTGATTTGACTTATTTGATATCGTTAAATTGATTCGGATTGAATCCTTCGAAGCGGATTGAGTCGCGGTTGAGTTTGGTTTGAATCAAAAGTCAAATGAGGTCTATGTGATTGTTACATTAAATAAGTGTAACTCTAATGTAGGCGACACCGACCTCATCTCCTCCCTGATTATGAATGATAGCGTTTTTATCAATGACATCACATTATTGATCACAAAAATAAGTTATCGATGACTTGTCTAATACTTTTATGTTATATACTTTTTCTTATATGAAATAAGGGGTGCATCACAGTGTAGAATTCTCATATTTTGACAATTAATATGGATTACCAATGTAATTAAATTTAATATGCTAAGTAGTGATCTCAAAATTTTATGTCGATGAAATAAAGTTGAAGCACTAAAATTAGGAAAATAAAGAAAAAAATAATACTAAAGACGTAGATTATCTTTATAAAAATAATTTAATACTAAAATTAGGGTACTGAACTCTCGAATATATTTTGTGATATGTCTGTTTAGATTTATCGTAAGCTATGTTATCTTCATATTCTTAGGAGAATATCTTTGTATTATATAATATATATTCTTAATATTTTTATATATCGATATGTTCTTTATAATATTTTGGAATATTAGATGGAGAGATCCATTTTTACTTTTGGTGGTATCCTAATCGAGTTTATCCTAAGCAATGTTTCTCTAATTTTAAAAGTTTTCAACGTTGGAGAAATCATAGATGTTAAAGCAACGACTCCAGGTTATATATTTGAGAAATACTTCAGTAAACAGTTTCATAGTAGATAAAATATATAATTTATATTTTTTTATCATCATAGAAATACTAATGATGATGATGTTAACATTATTATTTTTTTATCAATTATATAATTTATTTATATTTTATTTTTTCAAACAAACTACACTTTTATCTTATGTCGACGTTCTAGATTCGTTGACAAATTACAATTGGGTGATGATTGTATATTCTTAATTGCCATTAAGATTTTTATGGTTGGTGCTCATATAAAAAAATTGAAACTTGAAGATAGCACTGAGTTGATTGAATATCTGAGAGGCTATGTATCACTTTTGATGGTAATCTGAAATTTATTTTTTCTATTTATGTATAAAAAGTCTAGTATAAATTAATTTTGATTATAAATCTTGCTAATTCATTGATAGATCTGGCCATGTAAGCATGTGGATATGTTTACACTATCTCATTATCTCGATCATCTCTAATTCGAGACTTAGGGTCGGGTGAGCATCAACAATTGAAATATTATCAATTTTAAGTTACAATTAATAATTAAAAATAAGATATTTTTTTATTTATCAAAAGAGAGTTTATTTAGAGATATGGATACGTTCTTTATAACTATTGTATATGCATATTATTCTTTATTTTTCAAAAGATGATGACGACCTCCTACCTGTTGGTGATGTCGATAGTGATGTTATATCCCAACGATGTTGACCATGATCATCAAGGCTCAACAAGAAGGTAAGACCAACCTCTTGCCCAAACAACGACAATGGCATTCGTAGTTATCAATGCTGTAATATTCTTTATTTTTTAATTATTTATGATATCTATGATTTATTTTTGATTATTTAATGATGATTTATTTAGTATAAGAAATTATTAAAATAACTTCTCATTAAATAATCAAAGAAAAATCATGTATATCATAAATAATTCAAAATTGAAGAATATTACACTCTCCCCCCTCAAAATTAAATAAATTTCTATTAAAATAATTAAATAAAAAATTATGATTATCATTAATAATTCAGAAATAAAGGATATTACATACGCTCATCGAGATGACAACGATACCCTCCTACCTCATCGATAAAGGGAACTGTACGACCATCGAGGCCCAACGAGAAGGTGACAAAATTCCTATTATCGATGACAATCATGACAAACAGTAAAAAAGTCAGTAATATCGATTAAAGTTTAGCGATATAATTTGAGAGAAAAAACAAGGGCTAATCTAAGTCTTAATTGAACAAATTAAATAATTAAATTATTTTAAAAACGATTTGGTTTGATTCATATCAAACAAATTGGTTCAACCTCAAAAACCCAAAGTCAAATGTGGTCAACAGATATTGTCTATCATTATTTCATTTTATAGAGGAGATTTTGATTCAACTAGAAAAAAGAAAAGCCCTTTGAGAGTGCCATTTGATAAAACCTCATTATTATGGTTTTTTTTTTTTTGATAAATTGCCCAAACAACTTTTGCTCGAGTGTAACACTCGATAAAATTCCTCAAGTTGTTCTACAAATTTGCAGCTACCAAAAAGTTCTGGCATACCTACCAATCTTGGCAAAAACAACGATGGAGAGGCAACAGTAAACTAAAGGAGAAATTCCAGTCATATCTTCTTTTACTCTGTCAAAACCTAACACTTCGTCCATGCTAATGTCAGAATTCTTTGATTTAAAGAATGACACTAGTAACCAGCTGGAGATCAATTGTCACCAAGTCCAGGAACCCTTGTGAGGAAAACAAGATGTAAGCGGAAGCTGGCTAAACAACTAAGAGCAAGCAGTTCAGTGCCGCAACCTGGGCTGGGGCAACTGGGTAATTGTATTCTTCGGTCACATCTCATTTCCTCACTCCGCTGCTGTCCACTTCGGTATTCTCATTATCATCATCGTCTTCTTCTTCTTCAGCATCTTGGCGACAGGCCGAGTCTACGGTGCACTCACTTATTGGTTCATTCTCCAGATATACTCTACAGGCGACATAGTTGTTCCTCTACAAAAACATCAAGTATGGTCAGCCAACAGAGGACACTTGATTGTTCACTTTTTGTGACGTAAGAAAATGAAAAATAGCTGCTTGTCTTTTAAATGTTATTATAATTGTCTACCGGAACAAGTCTACTGAAGGCATAATTCCACAAAAGTGATGGCCAGATTTCCGGGCAATGAGAAAGTCAAGCATATGAAGAGACAAAAGCAACCGAACCAGGAAGAACAAGAAATTGTGGCAGAAAACAGCAGTCTCAGTCTCACTCCCAATTTGATTCCATAGTAACATTCTATTAGCCAAATATATAGATGAAAATTGAAAGATGATTAAAGAGTGATCTTCCGTTGCTAAGTATCGAGAGAGTTGGATGATAATATTGGATTTGACTCAAAGCTTCTTGGTTTAAACTTTTTGGTTGAATTGGTATCCAATCTCATCGATATTAGTCATGACTAATTGACTTGGATTGCCCTAAGTAAAGCTTAAACAATTTCATTGTTAGTAACTTGATTCAGAGTTCACAGCAATTGTTAATCATAGTAAATGAGCATAATGAGAAAAAAAGCAATACATAACAAGTAGAAGATTTGAAGTAAATGTTTTCCTAAAATCTTGCATGAAGAGGTCAGAATCATGAGATTCTATCCAGTGGGTTGTGATTAATCTAAAAGCAAGAAACTTGCACATCAATGGTAGATGCTATAATCATCAACTATGAAGCATCGGTAAGAAAAATAATTCACTTTAGAGATGCGATCCAACCTCAGGGTTGTCGTCATTCCTCAGCAGATGCCTCTCCTGGTTGAGACGGTATTCCGCCATCTCCCAACGGGTGATCGCCCCAGGATCGTCCTCTGTTCCTTCGACGAACACAAAAGACCTCTTGAATCCAATTATGCCGCCCAAGAACACGGCATTGATACTCTCCACTTCGCCCACTTCCTTCCAGAACCCATTTGGCGTGCGTCGGCTCTTCTCGCTGAGGTCCCTTCGCACAAAGAAGTAATCCCACTTCCCATCAGAACTACGAGTATTTACTGCATGCAAGACCACCAAAGTGAATGAGATGTTTGGGTTCAAGAACACAAGGCTACATATACCAACATACTGAGCGGGAACAAACAAATCATTACCATCCATTTTATTGCAACTACTAAAATATTTGGATTCAAGAACAGATGGAAACTGCATATACCACCAAACTAAATGAGAATTGCATTTACCATCTGTTTGCTGTGAAGTTTGGAGTCAAGAACAAATGCAAAGCTACATATGCCGTCAAACTCAACCAGAATCATCACATAGTTTTCATCCATTTTAATGGTAACTACTGAGAAGTATGGATTCATGAACAGATGTAATGCCAAACTTAAACGAGAATCATCATCGTAACTACTGAGAGGTTTGGATTCAAGAACTGATGTCAAGCTTCATAAACCGCCAAACGAGATGAGAATCATCAGATACGTACCATACATCTCAAGGAAACTACCAAGAAGTTTCGATTCAAGAACAGATGTAATGCTACAGTTACCGTCAATCTAAACAAGAATCGTCCGATCATTAGCATCCATTCCAGCGAAACTACGGAGAAATTTGGGTTCAAAAACAGATTTAGTGCTACATTCACCCCCAAACAAAACGAGATGAGAATCATCAGATCCGTACCATCCATCTCAAGGAAACTACCAAGAAGTTTCGATTCAAGAACAGATATAATGCTACAGTTACCGTCAATCTAAACAAGAATCGTCCGACCATTAGCATCTGTTCCAGCGAAACTACTGAGAAATTTGGGTTCAAAAACAGATGTAGTGCTACATTCGCCACCAAACAAAACGAGAATAACCAGATCAGTGCCGTCCATTTTGAGGTTACCACCGAGAAGTTTGGATTCAAAAACGTGTAATGCTACATTTACCGTTAATCTGAACAAGAATCGTCGGATCATTACCATTTATTTCAGCGAAACCACCGAGAAATTTGGGGGTTCTAGAACAGATTTCTTGGAGCCGCTTCGTCTTCCAGAAAGAAAAGTTGGATTCAAGAACCAATATAAAGCCACAGATCAAGCTGAGGCAGTAACGAAAGAAAGGGAGACGAAGATGGCGACGAGACTTAACTGGTGAGCCTGTCAGGGTCGACGTGGTAGATGTCCGTCTCCTTCACGGCCGCCTTATCGGGAATGCGTCGTCCGAGCACCTTGGGCGCGAGGTAGTACCACAACAGGTCTTGGTCGCTCGGGTTGAAGACGAACCCTGCCGGCACCGGCATGTTGTTGGGATGCAAAGCCTCACTTCTCCCGCACTCCGATACACTTCTTATATAGTAGCCAAGCGACAGAGCCTTCCCAGCTGCGACTCCATCTCATTTTGATATGATTGTTTGCATTATATATATATATATATATATATATATATATATATATATATATATATATATATATATATATATATATATATATTAATAGTTTAGAACGATGATAATTCATGGAAGATAAAATAGTTAGTAATTTTAAAAATATATTTAATACAATTTTAAACCCTTAATTAATATATATTATTATAATATTTCTAATCAACAAGGTATTACAATTCATTATCAATTCAACCCAATTAAGGATTAAGTGATATTATTTGATATCAATAATATTTAAAATATAAATTGAGATGCTTTGATATATTATTTCATCCCAAAATCGATATTATCAATGATTTTATTTTCTTATCAAGCGCAAATAAAATGATTTTTTTGAGAATTAATGATAATCAAGTTGGATGATTTCTTCATATGCTCATTTTAACGGATGAGGGATATATACTAGTCAGATGATTAATTTTGAAAAAATATATTTATTTATTTTTTAAATAATCTCTCAATAGCACTAGATCCGATTTTGTTAAAAACATTTCTTTCTAAATTTTATTTCTGAATTAATATCATAATATTTTTTTAATAAGAGCTATGATTATTTTTAACTTTTATTTTGATGAATAAATAATTTATAATAACTATTTATAATATATAATAAAAATAATATTTATTTATTTGACTCTTGATTTTTTTTTCACATGTTGTAATCATTGAAAACAAAAATCAAGAGGTGACACTTATAATTTTAAATATATTAAAAATAATAAATTAGTTATCTCATCTCGATCAAATAAAAAAAATAAATATTTAAATATTTGTTATCAGCTAATCAACTCTTCTACAACTTAGATTGACTTCATCAAACATATTATAAAAACACCAAAGAACATGTTTGCAAAACAAATTGAACTCCATGAAAAAGTCATAGAGATAGAAATGTCCACATAATTTTAAACAAGCATCCAATATCCCTTATTTCTACTCTTTATCTTCCAAATTTATTACACATTTATGAATCAAAACTTGACTTTAAAGTTCCCACAAACTCAAATTAATAATAATATATAGAGGACAATGTGATGTGACGCATCCACACTAAAAGAAACCAATTAAGGGCTACAAATGAATTAAATATAGAGAAGACCGAGTCATCCAGACTCGGTCAGAACTCGGCCGAGTTCATGCGCGGCGGGTTAGCATAGTAATTGGGCCGCCTGCGAATTGACATCATCCCCTCCGAGACGATGCTGCCGTCGTCGTCCGCCGGGAACCCCATCGACAGCGACGGCTCGGCGTCGTCTTCGTCGTCCCCCCTCAGCGCCCTAAGCGTCTTCTTGGCCATCTCCCGCCGCATCTCGCCGCCGCTGACCCAGCCCTCCGCCACCCGCGTCAGCACCGGCTCCGCGCTCGCCGACCTTGCCAATCCGCGGAAACGGAGGCTCCCGCGGCTCATCCCGTATAGCGCCGCCACGCAGTATTCCTCCACCGCGGCAGCCGCCGGCGACCTCATAAGAGACACCACCGACGTCACTGCCCCGCCATCCATCAGCGCCGCCCGCCCCTCGTTGCAACCGGCGAGGTTGCACACGACCATCATCGCCAGCCTCGCTAATCCCGGCCCTTGCGTCGTCGACGGCGTCCCTCCCGGGGACACCTCCCTCTCCGACGCTACCGAGAGCAGGGCCCGCACCACCCCTGGAGCTCTCGCGATCTTCGAACGGTTGGCGCCGGCGAGGGAGAGGTAGTACAACGCCATCCCGGCGTCGCGACGAGCGCGGAGGCCGTCGGCTGAGGGCACGGAGAAGAGGTCGAGCAGCGGCGGGATGGCACCAAGAACGCCGATCGCCGCTCTGTTTTCGTCAGCGATGGCCAGACTAAAGAGAGCGCCAGCGGCGTGGTAGCGGGCCTCCGGGTACCCGCCCTCGAGCACTTCCACGAGCGGCGGCACTGCCCCTGACCTCACAATGCGGACCCGGTTCTCAGGCTCCAAAGAAAGGTTCACCAATGAGGCGGTCGCGCTGATCTGGACGGCGGCGCTGCTTGAGAGGAGCATAGAGCGGAGCGCGGCGAGGAGGCGAGGCGTGCAGAGGTCGATCCGGCGCTTGCGGTTCTCCTTGGTAGCTTGCCGGAGCAACACCACAGCGGATTCCTGTTCGGAGAGCTCCGTATCCATCAATTTAATCAGAACCTCCTCTTCCGACACACCGACGTCGGCAGTCTGGGACGTGGGGAGACTGGTAGCGGTCCGATTGTGGACTTCGGGTGGCGGCGGCTCTTTGGGCGCTTCCTCGACGAAGGCCTCGGTGATGGAGGAATTGGAGGAAGACGACTGGTACGAGGACGCCGACGAGGTTAAGTGCTGCGAAAAGGAGGGAGCTTGATTCTTGGTGCGAACGGAGAAAGCGGAAGGGGCGTTGGGATTCATCGCCCCCCTCAAACTCTGGGCCGGTCTCGTCGATCTGCTGCCAAAAATCTCACCCTCCCCATCCGAGGACGCCGAAGAAGCTCGCACCGCCTCACCTTTCTCGTCGTATCGGCTGCCGTAAGAATCCGCGGCAGCTGCTGCTCTGGAGAGCTCACCTCTTTTCTCTCTTCCTCTTTCAGTTCCACCGTAAGAATCCGCGGCAGCTGCTGCTCTGGAGAGCTCACCTCGTTTCTCTTTTCCTCTTTCAGTTCCACCGTACCCGTGTGGCGATCGAGAGGCCTCACCTTTTTCCGCCTCCTCTGCTTCGTCGAAAGAGAACGCCGCGAATCTCCGCATGAATTCACCCCTTCGATCTCTTCTCCCATGACCACCACCACCACTACCATCACCACCGGCAGCATGAGGAGGGGAGGGACGTGGATTACTGGAGGGGGGCATGAGGCTACGGACGAGGGCGCGGGCGGCGTCGGGGGGCATGGGCTGGGGGGGCGGTACGCCAATGCTCTGGCACCAGCTGAGGATGGCGGACTTGAGGGCGACGTTGGGGATGAGAACGAGAGGGGAAGGGCTGAGTTCGAGGGAGAGGCCGGGCGGGGAGAAGGCGAGGTCGGCGCAGGCCTGGACGCAGCTGCGCTCGAAGGTGTGGCCGGAGGGAGGGACGATGACGGGGTCGGCCATGAGGGAGCGGGAGATGGGGCAGAGGAACTCCACGGCCATCTCCGCCGCCGTTATGGAGGACACAGGCGAGGTGCTCGAGGCGGAGGTACACGAGCGGTGGTCGTTGGAGAACCTCCAAAAGGGCTTGCGGCTTCCCATTCAATCCCTTTTCCCAAGGTTGACCATATAATCTCTCTTCCCCTTCCTTCCTTTCCTCCATTTTCTATTGTGTTTGCTTGGTGATTTGGAAGAGGGAAGACTTGGAGAAAGAGAAGACCAAAGGAAGGGAGAGAGTAGTAGTGAAGAAAAAACAATATTAGCAATAAAAGTAATAACAAAACAAAGAAAACTAGGAAAAAAAAAAAGCAATTCAAGGAAAATAAAAGAAAATAATAATAAAAACACCAAGTTGACTTTGGCCTTCAGAGAAGAATAAATCAAATGCTTCCTTCATTTCCTGAATATAGAGTTCTTAGTTCTGTATGTGGATAAGCCAATCAATTGCCAATGACTAATCAGTTTTGTAGCAAAACGTTTCTTTAAATTGGTTCTTTGACTTTGACCAAGGTAAATATAATGTGTAAGATTCCTCATTAGCCATGAATAATTACAATACTATTTGATGATAAGGTGGGATTTGTAGAAATCAGACTTTGACTCTTCAAAAGATCCACTGGCTTTAAAAGAACCCAAGTTTGCTGGTTTCCCCTCTACTGCACAACTCAGCTTCTATATTTTAATCAGTGTTGTGGGCTTAGAAAATGAACCTGTCCTTGTATGACCTCACAAATAGAATTATTCAGAGTGAGAGGATGGTGTTAAATATTGGATGCCTTCAACACATGATACAGAGATGGCATGCACATAAAGTTAGATAATGGTTGCCAAGATTACATGAAGCATTGACTTTCCAGCAAAATCTTGTACATGAGCACTGAGCTTGTTGAATCATTTGATTGTTATTTGCAATGCCAACCATCTATAACATGTAGTTTGAGTTTCTAGCTTCAGTTTCTTTCTCTTATGAATGCTTCACCAAAGTATCCATGATAGTTAGCAACTATGCTCCCTCTTTGAAGTAGATATTGGAAACAAAACTTGTTATTGGTACTTTTCAAGCCGCTGCTTGTACCTACTAGTGTTAGATCTTACTAAGTCAATTAACTAGATTCAACAATATATCAATATCTCTTTCATCAAGACAGCTGTTTAGTTCTTTTGTAGAGAAAATTTGGTTTATTAGTAAGAGTTGTTGAGCATAAGCTCTACCAGACCCCATTATATGCTAAAGCTGTAGAGTTTAACTTTTTACAGCAGCAGACTTGCTTGCTTCATAGGTTCTCAATGTCATACTTTAATAAGCTTTTTTTTAAGTGGTTGACTGTTAATTTGTTGCTAATTTACAGTGCATATTGCAGTGTCCTGGTCCCATTTGACTTGTGAGTAGTCATCAAGTTCAGCACCCAGCCAGCAGGAAGAAAATTGCGTTTGCAGATTTATTTGACTTTTATACCACTTGGAAGTTGGATGGATGGCTGAAGTTTTATGCTTGGCCATTTAGTTTCCCACCACAGATTCGAGCTCCCGAAGGTCAATTCTCTATTTGCTTATGAATTTTCAGTTATATTCTTTAATGAATCAAAGTTTTTATTTTCATAAGTTATGGCGATCTAGCATAGCAAATCAACTGATAAAATAATATGTTTAGGAAATACTACTTCAAGCAACCACATAAACTACAGAAATCTAGCAGTCATGACAATGAAAACACTGAATTTGAAGCTTGTGGCAGCAACAATGTATTAATCCATTGGTAATTGTCAAATGTCAAAATACATTAGCTTGGTGAAAAATCTTTCACTATATATTATTTCATCTTACATTTGGAAGACATATTATTCAGGCCCTGCCTTGTATTTCTTGAAGCAAAATTGCAGTTAGCTGATGGTGCTTTAAGACCTAATATTTTTCTTTTATGCTTGCAGTTTAATCTTCTTTAGATGTTTGTTTCATTGTAATCAAGGCTTGATCAAACTCCGAAGCATTGCTTTCTTGTGTTACATGCTTCTTCCTCTATCATCTTCGTTGTGGTTGATAGAAAAAAAGTGTTAGAGGTCCTTGAAGTGCCAACCATTGATTGTTTCGTCATTTAGATCAGTAAAGGCTTCCAGTTGACAAAAGAGGACATCAAGGACATTCCATTCTTCCTCTTTCCTTCCCCACTCAATTGCCCAACCCAATCAAAGAAGAGATTCTTTCCATAGCTTACATATAAATTTTGGACTCGGTCTCTTGAGTGTGATTTAGAGAGATCTGTTGATGCTACGTGGTATATGAGCTGGTTGCAAGAAACATTACAGCCGTGCATAGCATGGATATGATATCACGTGCCCATATGATATGGTGTGAATTGTTTTCAGGCCCAATATACTACAGTATGCTGTTAGATGTACCGGACCAATAAAACAATTAGTCCATCTAAGACATGCTGCAGAAGTAGATTGCCAACTCTGTCCTTTGTAGATTGCTGATGGTATCATTAAGATGTGTTTCTGATAAGTGTGTGAATCATGCTATGGTCATTGATATTTATTACCACTGATTCAAATCAAGTATTTCTAGGAAAAACTGCCTGCTGAAAAGCATTTAGTGAAGATATTCTTTACATTTTGTAGAATACTTCAAAATTAGGAAGCAACATAATCGCCAGAGAAAAGGATCATATAAAGCACATATGGAATGCCTTTAGATAGGTATGTCAGAGTGATGATTTTGCCCAGAGAAGCTAAAACATTCATGACAGGAGAATGTCGGCTAATTCTATTTCATGGGAGAAAAAAATCTGAAGTGCTTTAACTGATTGATGGGGATGGCTATGATAACCATTTTGATTAGTTAACTATCTGTGGGACTTTGAAACCTGTGGCAAACAAAAAGTTGCTAAAAGGATAGCTTTACAGATGACTGTCCTGACAGCTTCACTGCTTCTGTTCAAGATCAAGCTTTATTAGTCACCACCAACTTAAAAAGAGCCTTGTGATGATCCTTCACTGCAATCCAGCCTTCTTTAATAGTTTTCTAGTTTCATGACTTAGCCTTGGCTTTGGTTGTTACTCTTCAATTATGATAAAGTTTAAAGAGAAGGGAGAATTGCTGTGATGGAACTTCTCAGAAGGAAAAGGTCTTGTTGAGCTGTGTGAAAGCTTGAAGTGGATCCCATAGAAGGTGAGGAAGCTATCCAGGAATATAAAGAAAACCATGGTTGTGGGAGAGTCCTGTCACAATCACTGTTGTTTTGTTTATGACTAAGGGACAATGGCTCTCTCACTTTAGTTTTAGCCCTGGGCTTTCTGATGTTAACTTTCAATTGCAAGCCTTTGGTTTCTATTATTTTATACTGTCGTAGTTGTCAATAAAGCATTAAAGAGCAAAGCCCAATCATATTAGAGTTACAAAGAAAGTAGGCAAATGTGAGATGTGTACTACCTGTGATTGAAATATGACAGTGCAAATGAAGAGCAGATTGCCTTCATTAGGAAAGATTAAAAGCCTGATCTTAATCCCATGAATCTTACATCCTCAGTAGATGGCACCATTGTGCTGATTAAAGTAGTGTTTGCATTGTTCTCTTGTGGGTGTCTAAAGCACTGCTCTCTTTATCTTTTGGGCATTTAAAAACATGAAGTGATTCTACTGTACAAGGCAAGGTGTTCCACCCTTGTACATTACAAAAGGTGTTCTATTTTAAATCTTCCAATCACTCATCACTAATTCTTGTAGTCATTTTTTCTCAATAGCTAGAAATTCCTTTTAGTAACAAGCAAGCTGTGTAAAATCAACAGAAATTAGTGAGAAGTTTTGTTCTATTATCATTCTTTTTCTATACAATAATTCCTGTTCATATATTAAGTTTGATACCATCATTAGATATTTGATCATGAGACTGTGGTAGTTAAATTTCTAGTAGTTCATTTATTTATTATTTTTTGAAAAAAAGAAACTATATTATTGCTTCAAATTTCTAATAAAAATATATGTGAAGATCATTATGTAATAATAGAGATAAATATGAGGGATGAGAAGCCACCAGTGTTTCATTTTAGTTTGACTAGCAGTCTAATTTGTTGCTTGGTTATATTCCGTATAATAGCGTAAAAAATGATAATAAATTAATCATCATAGAATCTTCTTGATGTGTCTGATGGTGAATCGGAGATGCCATGGAGGTTCAACGTCCTTGATGAATATATCGTCGTTGATGCTTTTGTCAAAGATATATATTTGTTCGGCTCCTAAAAACTCCCAAATGGTCCCCCAACACAAATCTGAATCCTCCAGACAGCATATAAGAGGAGCCATTAGATTATTTATCATTTATAATAGCCGAAACCCAAAAAAATAAGTATGGTTTTAGCCTAGTAAAATAGGTGAATAACTTCTGTTGTTTATATTGTGGAACATCACATTCTCTTCTCCTTGTTATTAGACATCTACCTGAGATTCTAAGATCATAAAATTGTATCTTGCTGTTGCTAATTATAATCTTGTAATGCAATAAAGGTTGGTTGAAAACAGTGGTTAGCCATTAATCATTTTATTATTATGAGTGCACTCTCACCTGATCTACATCATGGAATTAAGTTGGAACTTTCTGGTGCAGTCTGTTCTGGTGCAGCCTGTTAGAATGTGGGAGGAGATGGAAGTGTTTAACTGATGACAGCCCATGCAAGTAGATTACTTACAAAGTCAACATCTTTAAGTACCTTGGATGATAAAGCTAAATAATTTGACTCTCTAAATATTAGATGATGAATGATTTATGAATCATTCACAGTGATCAAGTATATGGGCAATGCATTGAAGCAACTGCAACACTGCTGACTTCATCCCACTAGATTCTGCATCACAACTCCACATTATCAAGCAAGTAGCAGACTAAATACACTAATTATGACCATCCAAACTTTGTTTTTGGATGTCAAGAGTTTCCTGAAGCCACATTTGAACTTGGCAGGTGAGCAACTGAGATGGAGAGAGAGGCACCAGTATTTGCTAAAAGGAATTGAAGATGTTTTCTCTACCTTCCTCAGTTATTGGACTCAACAAAAGCAGTGACTCCCATCATCAACAAAAGAGAGAATCAATGTAAAGTTTTGCTTGCTGTTGTCCTTGAAGGATACAATTAATCTATGTGCATAATTGTGTTTGAGATTTGCATCAAGACAAAAAAGCATCATTAATCTAAGAGGGATAGAAGAATGTTGGTAGTATGATTCCCTCTCTTGTGTTTTGATGCAAGTTTTTATTTTTGGTGACAGAAATGATGATGTTGTCATTTGAACTAAAGTATGGTTTTGTCATTTACATGCTTAATTTTAAAAATTATCTAAAATATCTCTAAAAAGTTTCTTATCAAATTTTTTTTAATTTTTAATTTTAATAATATTTATATTCGAATCATAATATAATATATCAAATGATTTTTAGTATATTTTGATTTTATTTAATATATTTATAATATTTTTAATTTGTTGTGGTGATAAAAACACTATAGCAGATGAAAATTTTTGAGAAATAATTTAAATTAAGGATATCGTTTTAAAAAATGAAATAAAAGATAAAGATTAATATTAGGAAAATCAGAGAAATCATAAATCATTCCAAAAGAAGAGTTCTCATTGTTTTTAGGATAAGACAAAAGACGAATCGCAAGGAAAATAAAAAGGTATAAATCGGAAAAGAGAAAAGAAAAGAACAAACCGATGGCGGAACGCTTCATGCCAAATGGGACAGTTCGCGAGGACAACACATCCATCATAATTTGTCTCGTCCATACCACGTCGCCATCCTACCCACATCGGATTGCACGGATCATATGATTTATCTATCATAAATAATAATTATTTCCTCTTTACCCCCCAATAAAGCAGAGGCCACTCAACACAAATTAATCCCAATAAGCAACCCACCACAGCCTGTTTGAGCTTTCAATGCAGCGGCGATCAATAAAAAGACAAGATTTCGAATCTTGGGCCCCACCCTCGCTTGGGTTGAGCTGTCGGGCCTCACCGACACCCCTTAAATCTCCCCACTCCTCCGTGGCCCCACACCGACTCCATTCGTAAACAGGTGTTTTCGTGGGTACCCGTGAGTTGGGTCGGTGAACAACCGCTGCAATGGCTCCACGCCGCTGCCACGGACACCAATGGCTCCACTCCCCCTCTTAGTCGCCCCCACAAACCCGTTCCTTACCTTTTCGAGGTTCCTCATCGGTCTCGGGGCCCGATCTCTCCCGCCATTTACAAATGGGTGTTGTCTTGGGTAAGTGAAGACTGAGTCGAAGAAGAAAGGCTCTGATGGCTCCCCCCGTCCATTTAATAGCACCCGTGTAAGATTGTCCGCCGGATGACATTGACGAAACAATGGACGGTGGATGTCTTCCCGCAGAACAAAGTTTATGCGGCATCAGCGGTTGATGTGGGGGAGCAGTTGCCTCGGCTGGCGTGAGCATAGAGGGACAAGGTAACAGCTGCACTGTTCATGGGGAGCAGTGGAAACCCCACCCTCTCCTTCCCCTCTCCCCGCTCTCCAAATCCTCTCGCCCTCTTCGCCTCCTCTTCTTCTTCGGCTCTCTCTTCTTCTTCGTATTCTCCGATCGCAGAGCACGGTGGGGCACGGGGCGACGGATCTCGTTCGCCTCCGTGATGGGATTCGAGATGGGAGCGAGAGGGTGTTAGGCTGGTAGATCTGTGTTCTTCTCTGCGTGGTTCGGATCGCGTTGAGGTGTTCGATTCCTTGGCACCGAGAGCGATTAGGGTTAGAGCCTGCAGGTTGGCTTTGGGTGGAGAGAGATGCCGGCTCCGGGTTTCTCTTCCTCCAAGTCGGAGAGGAAAGGGGATACCAATAAACAGCAGCAGCAGAGAAGGGATCCGTATGAAGTTCTTGGTGTCCCTCGCAATGCCACGGAGCAGGAAATCAAGAGTGCGTACAGGAGAATGGCTCTCAAGTAAGAACCCTGAATTCAATCTGGGCGATTTTAAGGATGCTGTTTTTGCGTTCCTGTTGCCTCTACATCGCTGCGACGAATAATGAGTGTCTATTTCTTGTTGGGATCTTGCAGTATTATCTTGAAATGGCCCATTCTAGCTTCCAGAATGGAGTTGATATCTTGTTCTAACTAGGGCAAACAATTGGTACAAGTATCAACAAAATTTAACGTTCCTATCATACATAAATGTCGAGGATTTTTTATTATTCATGTTATCGTGGAGAAATGATAACTTGTAATTTGATATTGCATACCATTTGACGGAAAAAAGACATTTTTCAGATACATAGTACATTATAAATAAATTTTTATATATGCTTATTGGATTTGCAACTGGTTTTACAACTGTCATATCCCCCTTTTGTAAGAAAACCTATAGCAATGGTTCCAAGCGATGGTGAATAACACTAAAAGAAATCAGTCTAAATTTCAGTGATGAATTGAACTTAAAATGTTTGGTACAAGATTCTTCAGTGACACTAATAGTATGCCAAGTCTGCCTAAGCTTCTTAAAACTTTGGGCTATTATCTTTTACATATCTGATAATTGTAGCTCCTTTGAGTCTGCAAATATCTGGAAGTCAACAGATGGATGGGGGTCGATAAAACTCATAGCTGATTATGACATCAGTGATACTAGCTACAATGAGTTGGGACTATCTACAAGTCATCTAAATCATTTAGCCCTCTACCAAATCTCAGTTTGTTAATTCTTAACATATACTACAGCTCTCTACCAAATTCCAGTTTGTTAATTCTTAACATATACTACAGCTCTCTACCAAATTCCAGTTTGTTAATTCTTAACCTATATTACATTATAAGGCCAGCCTGTCATAGTGTCATGGCCATGCACATAAAAAATCCAACTCAGTGAGGCTGGCTGGTGCGGATCAGGAATAGATAGCTCCAAATAGAGGTGGATATGTTGGTGAAGAAGAAAATTTTCTGGTGCTAAAGTTTCATTAAGTGACGACTCCAATCTCTTAGATGGTTTAATTTCACCATTATAAAATATTTCCATAGGCTGAGAGATTGTCTTTCATCTAGTTAATTCAAGTATCTTCTTTCTTCCATGAGAATTCAAGTAGGATATGTACTTTGAGTTTTAAGTAAATGAGCATATTTCTCTGTGATTTAAGTTGCAATAATAAATCTCTATCTCGCTTGGCAATTTTCTTTAAATTTAATTTTGCTAGGAGAAAATTTCCAATTTGTTCTTTAATGCCTCCTTATACTGATCCAGTTGTAAGCTTGGCTATGATACCCAGGCTCCAAGTTAGCTGGTATACAACTAAATGCTTGAAGCTGAATCAAGGTAGAAGAAAATTATATGCACAACAAAACGTAACAATTTGGAATATATCATGATCATTACAACTGAGGCACTGAAACTTGTTGTTTCACTTGAAGTGGTGGAAACATTCAAATTTGTAAAAGTTGTATGTAATTTATGACATGGTTTAATTTGTATGTCACTAGAGAACATTAGTTGCGTCTCTGATGCTCATCCTATCAGTCCTCTGGTGGCCACATAATTTTCTTTGCATACTCAGAAATTGAAATATTTTTGGTGAGAGATGATACAAAGGACCGTCATAGTATTTGTATTCTGTTCATTTTGCAGGTATCATCCTGACAAAAATGCAAATGATCCTATAGCAGCTGATGTTTTTAAGGAGGTCACCTTCTCATACAATATCTTGTCTGATCCAGATAAACGGCGCCAATATGATACATCAGGTTTTGAGGTTAGTGATACAAGTTACACAGCTGCTGTTGGATTTAGTTCTATTAGATGATAATTCAGATCTGTCTCTGTCTATCACTAAAACTATTTTTTAATATGGGATTTCTCCATCTACTATGTTGTCATATATTTTATGTAAAAGTTTGTGTTCTGTACCCTTATCATTTATTTCTTGCTTTCATTTAAGCCACCAGACAGATTCATGAAGTTGACATTTCTTTGTTCAGGCTATTGAATCAGATAGCCAAGAATTGGAGCTTGATCTTTCAAGTCTTGGTACTGTAAATACAATGTTTGCTGCACTTTTTAGGTAAAACCAGTCAGTGGAACTTGCTATTATCTTTGTACTTTTTTGGTAGCTCTTTTTGCACCAATTATCAAAAGACCTCTGACTATATACTGCATGTTAGTAAACTTGGAGTCCCGATTAAGACAACTGTATCTGCAACTGTTTTGGAGGAGGCGCTTAATGGCTCAGTAATCATTCGTTCACTTCCTTTGGGTCAGTCGATTGCTAGAAAGGTTATCATCACATTTCCACTTGTTGCTTTTAGGACTGTTGCATTCAAAATTTTGAATATTTACTTTTCCAATACTGGACAGGTAGAAAAGCAGTCTGCTCACTTTTACACAGTAGAAATAACAGAGAGGGAAGCCCAGATGGGAGTGGTTTGTCGTGTTTATTCAGCTGAAAAAAGCAAATTCAAGGTTATGTCAAAATTTTGAATATTTACATTATGTATGCATATATACATACTGTATGTATATATTTAATATATAACAATATTCAGGGCAATGAATGCTGTTAAAATTTTTGAAGTATAAAAATTATATTATCAGAAGAGGTTCCCATGAAGAATCTCTTCGAGACATGTTTGGAGCTTCGAACATTACCTGAAAAGGAATCTTTAATAATTGATTTTTAGTTCACTCTAATGTTATGGAGTGTCAAGAAGTTCATTTTCTTAACACTCTGGATTTATCACCTTATACCTGTAAACATTTGCACTTCAAAATGATTGTTATATGGATGATGTCCCCTTGTTGTACATGTAGTGATGGCAATGGGTCACTTGAATCCAATCCCCAACTTGACATAATTACCTTTCTAACCGAATTTGTCCTGAACTTAATTAAAGTGTATCTGAATCTGATTCAAGTGAGTTGGATATACCTGGATATGAAAAACCGGATGTGCTGTCATCTCTACTCTCTTTAGGAATGACAATGGGTAGGTATCCTTACTGAAATCTTACTCCAACTTATGTACCTACTTCCATGCCCAACGTGTCCCAAACCTTGTTAAAACCAACCTGGATTTAGTGGGTCAGTAGACCGACGTAACCAAATAATATTACCCTCTGCCATCCCTGTGAGCATGGATACTTGTTTAATCTCAACACATGATACTTGGAAACATATTGAGACATTTGTACCATCCACACCAAAAATTGTTAATATGTAGTATGGTATAATGTATGTCATCTGTATGTAGAAGGTTCCAAAAGATGTAAAATATTGTCAACATATAATTGACACTTTTGATTCTTAGTGATTTGTGTTTGAAGTTTTCTTGTTTAGATTTTTTGCAATCTATATGAATGGTTGTTTCCCTTCATATGAATTGGATTTTTCATAGATTGCCTACATTATACAAGCTATGAAATTGGACAATATATAAAAAACACATGTCACAAATGTTGTGCCTGGTCTGTATCATGTCCTATAAGACTGTTCAGTAATGTCCTTGGCCATGTTTCATGGTCCAGTACATGCTGGTCCACTTCCAATAGGGTTGTAGACTGGAGTATGTGTCAGTACTCCTCAAGCATCAATCTTACTTATTAATTTTCGTTGAGTAGACTGGTTTGGTTGTTACAACAGGTGTACCATTAGTTCCATAATGGGTTCTGGTTTAGGCTTTAAATTGCTGCCGTTCTAGGAAGAGAAATTTCATTCCATTGCTTGGTACATTCTTTCATCTTGACATGATCAAATGGGAAATAGTTGCAGTGCCAAGATCTAACAAAGTAACAATGTTTGTTGTGGATCTCCAATGATGATTAGGACCACTGTTGGTAGCTTAAGCAAAATGGTGCATACACTATCTGTTTCCTTTTCAATCATTCCTTCCTTTTTATCCTTTTCTCTCTCCTGCCAGCACACTCGTGTTAGCATAATGATGAACTATATTATAGAAGTCTTTGTTAGCTTGCATGGCGTTTTCACCTTGCATACATCATGTACTTTTGCCACTGCAAGAAGCAAATTTTTTTGACATATTGTGCGGTTGATCAGGCGCTCAACCTATATAAATGGAACTTTTTAAGAGTCTTACATGGATCGGAGTCATCATAGTGGCCTATGACTAGCAAATAAAACATAAGTTAGAACTTGCAAGGCAGTGCTGCCAAAACCTAAGGTTATAAAAAACTTAACTGGTTGTCAAGCTCATGCAGTGCAGTATTCCATGAGAGTAAATTGCTTCATTGTCATTAATCTATGGAAAGGTCCAACCAGGACTATAAGATCTCTGTTTCTTTGTTGATCTTAACTTCCAAAAGTCATCGACCTTTGAGAACTTCACGGTCTATGGTTCATGATATTGATCTTTAAGTTTAGTTCATACTCTTTGCAGTATTTATGAGTTGTTATTGGATAATTTAATAGCTTTTCATGCTTCTACAACTTGACACAAGAATGATTTTGTTTTTTATGAACCAAACCTTGAAATTTGTAGCAGGATAGATCATATTTTTGCTGGTAGTGCAACCTGATTCAGATCAGGTGGTGCATATCTAAATCAGAAGATCTTGACTTGTCATTACCTTAGGGATCCAATTATAAGTCTAGCATCTAAGATGCATAACAGAACAGAGGTTAAAACAAATCCATGCATCTTCACTTAAGTTCCAGGTTAATTTACCTCTAACTATGTATATGCATTGGTAGCCAGTTGTCTCTTCATGGATTATTTGCTTGCGCTATGCGGGTTGAACTATTTTTTAGGAATTTATTGATGATGGTTACTTCTACTATTTTACTGCATCTTTTTAGGAATTAAAATTTTATTCTTACTATATTTTTTGTAATGTATTTGCAGCTATTGTACTTTGAGCAGGAAGAAAATGGTGGACTCAGTCTTGCATTACAAGTAAGCATATCATGTTGGTGAATTTATTAACAATAGTATATTGCCTCTTGTTAATTTTCTTTTGTTGTATCGACTGTTTGATTAGTTCTAAAAGAGATCATATGCAACCATGTGGAGAGTTCAACATAGCATTCTTTTCTTTTACTTTATCATCTCTGTTATTTGTGTCCTTTAGCTTTGTCTGGCATCC